CTTTGTATACAAACTGTGGTTCACAAAGTGTTGTATGTGGATCCTCGCATTCAATGACCGCCCATGGCTCTGCTCTGTTACCCCATTTACCCATCACAGCATTGTGCAGTCTTTTTTGTCAGTATTCTGAGATCCTTTCCTGTTTATTCAGGTTACATTTTAGTCTGTAGATCTTTCCAGCTTACACAGACAGTTTATCAGATTTATCATTTAGGATTAGATAGTAGTATTGGAATCAAGTTATACATTATCTTTTTGTTTACCAGTATTGTAGGATTAACTATCAATTGACTATGAATTTGCCTTCTACTTGGACCTTCTGTTTGAGTTTTGAGCTTATAATCCCTATCTGGAATGTGACTATTTTTACATTTTCATGTAGGCAAAACCATGAAGCATGTGAAGTTTATCACTCATCTTCCCTATTCTTCCACTATCTCCATCTCTGATACTCATTTCTCCATCTTTGTTTCTTTGCTTTTTCCAGGGACACATAACCTATGTCCATTGCACTAAATCTTGTCCTTGTGACACATTTCTTTTAAGAAGTGAGGACATAAAAACTTAAGATGTTGTTTTTTCTAATTATATAAATCTTGTAACACTCCAGGTATTCTGAAAAATGTTGAAGGAGCTATTTTGAAGCAGAGAACTCTACTGATTGTTTCCTATTTATTCCAAAGGCTGGTCCAGGTGGTGGTAGAGGGTGCCATGGTGCATGTTCTGGATTTGTAAGCAATCTTCCTTTCTCATATACATATTTAAAACCATAAAATCCTCTCTAAGCACTGTCTTATTTGCCTTCCACAAGTTTTGATCTTTGGTTAAAAATTCTTTTTCTAATTTATCTGGTAATGTTCTTTGACCCATGAGTTAATTAGTTGTATTTATTGTTTAATTTACACATATACGGAGCTTTTCTATATATCTTATTTTTAATTGATTTTTTAAAATTTAAATTCAATTAGCCAACATATAGGAATCATTAGTTTCAGATGTAGAGTTCAATAATTCATCAGTTATGTATAACACCCAGTGCTCATCACATCACATACCTTCCTTAAAGCCCATCACCCAGTTACCTCATCCCCTCACCCACCTCCCCTCCAGCAACCCTTAGTTTGTTTCCTAGAGTTAAGAGTCTCTTACAGTTTGTCTCCCTCTCTGATTTTGTCTTATTTTATTTTTTCCTCCTTTCCCCTACGATCTTCTGTTTTGTTTCTTAAATTCCACATATAAGTGAAACCATATGATATTTGTCTTTCTCTGATTGACTTATTTTGCTCAGCAGCATAGTACCCTCCAGTTCCATCCACATCTATGTAAATGATAAGATTTCACCCTTTTCAATGGCTGAGTAATATTCCATTGCGTGTGTGTGTGTATATGTATATATATATGTAAACACATAAAAATTACATATATACGTATATATTCCATTATATATGCATGTATATATTCCATTATATATACATAAATATACCTCTATCTATCATCTGTCTATCTATCTATATACCACATCTTCTTTATCCATTCATCTATCAATGGACATCTGGACTCTTTCCATAGTTTGGCTATTATGCACATTGCTGCTATAAACACTGGGGTACAGGCACCCCTTTGGATCACAAGTTTGTATCCTTTGGATAAATACCTAGTAGTACAATTGCTGGGTCATAGGGTAGCTCTATTTTGAACTTTTTGAGGAAGCTCCATACTGTTTTCCAGACTGGCTGTACCAGCTTGCATTCCCACCAACGTGTAAGAGGGTTCCCCTTTCTTCTCATCCTCACCAGCATTTGTTGTTTCCTGACTTGTTAATTTTAGGCATTCTAGTGATTGTGGTTTAGATTTGTATTTCCCTGATGTCAAGTGATGTGGAGCAATTTTCATGTCTGTTAGCCATTTGTATGTCTTCTTTGGAGAAACGTCTGTTCATGGCCTCTGCCAATTTCTTGACTGGAGTTTTTGTTTTTTTGGGTGTTGAGTTTGATAAGTTCTTTTGTTTTTTGTTTTTTTGTTTTGTTTTTGTTTTTTGTTTTTTTTTAGTTTGATAAGTTCTTTATAGTTTGTGGATACTAGCCCTTTCTCTGAGAGGACATTTTCAAATATCTTCTCCCAATCTGTAGGTTGTCTTTTGGTTTTGTCAACTCTTTCCTTTGCTGTGCAAAAGCTTTTATCTTGATGAAGTCCTAGGAGTTCATTTTTGCTTTTGTTTCCCTTGCATTTGGGGACATGTCTAGCAAGAATTTGCTGAGGCCGAGGTTGAAGAGGTTGCCGCCTGTGTTCTAGGATTTTGATGGACTCCTGTCTCACATTTAGGTCTTTCATCCATTTTGAGTTTATTTTTGTGTGTGGTGTAAGAAAATGGCCCAGGTTCATTCTTATGCATGTGGCTGTCCAATTTTCCCAACACCATCTGTTGAAGAGACCGTCTTTTATTCTGTTGGATATTCTTTCCTGCTTTGTTGAAGATTACTTGACCATAGAGTTGAGGGTCCATTTCTGGGTTCTCTATTCTGTTCCATTGATCTATGTGTCTGTTTTTGTGCTAGTACCATACATACTGTCTTTACGATTACAGCTTTGTAATAGAGCTTGAAGTCCGGCATTGTGATGCCACCAGCTTTGGTTTTCTTTTTCAACATTCCCCTGGTGATTCGGGGTCTTTTCTGGTTCCATACAAATTTTAGGAATGTTTGTTCCAGCTCTGTGAAAACTGTCGATGGTATTTTGATAGGGATTGCATTGAATGTGTAGAGTGCTCTGGGTAGCATAGCTATTTTATTTTATTTTATTTTATTATTTGTTCTTCCCATCCATGAGCATGGAATGTTTTTCCATTTCTTTGTGTCTTCCTCAATTTCTTTCATAAGTGTTCTGTAGTTTTTAGAGTACAGGTCCTTTACCTCTTTGGTTAAGTTTGTACCTAGGTATCTTATAGGTTTGGGTACAATTGTGACTGGAATCGATTCTTTAATTTCTCTTTCTTCTGTCTCATTGCTAGTGTATAGAAATGCAACTAATTTCTGTGCATTGATTTTTATATCCTGTCACATTGCTGAATTCCTGTATGAGATCTAGCAATTTGGGGGTGGAGTCTTTTGGGTTTTCCACATAAAGTATCACGTCATCTGCAAAGAGTGAGGGTTCGACTGCTTCTTTGCCAATTTGAATGCCTTTTATTTCTTTTTGTTGTCTGATTGCTGAGGCTAGGACTTCTAGTACTATGTTGAACAGCAGTGGTCAGAGTGGGCATCCCTGTTGTGTTTCGGACCTTAGGGGGAAAGCTCTCAGTTTTTCCCCATGGAGAATGATATTCGCTGTGGGCTTTTCATAGATGGCTTTTATGATATTGAGGTCTGTTCCCTCTATCCCTATATTTTGAAGAGTTTTAATCAGGAAAGGATGCTGTATTTTGTCAAATGCTTTTTCTGCATCAATTGAGAGGATCATATGGTTCTTGTCCCTTCTTTTATTGATGCAATGTATCACGTTGATTGACTCATGAATGTTGAACCACCCTTGCATCCCAGGAATAAATCCCACTTGGTCGTGGTGAATAATTCTTTTAATGTACTGTTGGATCCTATTGGCTAGTATCTTGATGAGAATTTTGGCATCCATGTTCATCAGGGATATTGGTCTCTAATTCTCCTTTTTGGTGGGGTCTTTGTCTTGTTTTGGGATCAAGGTAATGCTGGCCTCATAGAACGAGTTTGGAAGTTTTCTTTCCATTTCTATTTTTTGAAACGTCTTCCGAAGAACAGGTGGTTTTAATTGTATTCTAATAAATGTACACAGTTTAATAATTCAAATAGAACCAAAAGGCTTTCAAAGAAATATTTCAGTACACTGCCCAGCCTCTGTACTTAGCCCAGTACTTTGCCACAGGGGCAACCAGTGCCTTTATTTCTTGTAAGCTCTTCTGATGTTTACCTCTAAATTTCTAAACAGTGTGCTTATTATGCTACTTACTGATTGATGGATATTAGACCTGTTGACTTTCTTTTTTTAAGATTTTATTTATTTGTTTGACAGAGAGAGACACAGCAAGAGAGAGAACACAAGCAGGGGCAGTGGGAGAGGGAGAAGCAGGCTTCCCACGGAGCAGGGAGCCTGATGCAGGGCTCAATCCCAGGACCCTGGGATCATTACCTGAGCCGAAGGCAGACGCTTAACGACTGAGCCACCCAGGTGCCCCTGACCTGTTGACTTTTTATTATGGCATTTGATGGTTTAGCTCCTTACATCATCCCCACCATTCCTACCAAACATACAACCTCGTAACAGAGTCATAGCTCTAGTAGGTTCCTAAGAAAGGGAACATGGAGAATACAATTTTGTGTCCTTCTTTATGAAAAAATGTCTTCATATTTGTCTGGTCGTGATGTCTTCATAAATTTGATCTGCCATCCTCCCCGTCCTCTCCTTTCCTTTCCCATTTCTTTGTTCTTATAAGTTTATATCTTTTTTTCTTCCCTGTCATTTAGTTGGCATTTAAGATGGGAGTAGAGATGCAAACACATGTTTAGGCTCATATTAAGCAGATGTCTCCTAACAAGTGTGTGTATTTAATCAACTCATTATTTTGATGCCAGTTCCTACTGGTTCTTATTGAGTATTTGTGCAGGGTCCTGCCAAGTCTGCCAAGTGATCCCATCTCTGTGCTAGGCTGGCCCTGTTAGGTTGGCACTACAGTGGACCTCTGAGAGCCAATGAAATGGAGATTCATGTGAGTTAAGAAACTTTCCCAAGGCCACACAGTGTTATTTGAAGGATTAAATAATATATTATATGCAAATGTTCATTTTGTTAACTTTAAAGCACTTAATAAGTATAAAATATTATTCTGATCAGCCTAGGAGGATTAAAGGCAAGAACTGAGATTTGAAATCTGAATCAAAGACTTTTCCCTTTCAGCCCATCTGCACTGATAACTAAAGCCCCAGAGACAAGGACCACACATAGCTCCCTATAGATTAGCGTTGTAAAATGACATGGCTGCCAGGGTGACTGGGATGGGCATTGAGGAAGAGGGGAAGAATGGTGGTACGGCAAAGAGAAATGGGAAGTGTAATTCCAGGCAGAGTCATGGAGGCAGGTGGATGGTGCTGGCAGCGCTGGGGAAGAGCAGGTAACACTTCTGTGGCAGATCCAACTACAAGATGAAGGGAGACAGGGTGAGAGTCTGAAGCCTGGGTATGGGCTAACTCCACCCCTGTTCCCCACACTGACTTTAGGCAAGTTACTTCTCTAAGAATATGCTTCATTTGGAAGTGGGGATGATAACTGTTTCTTTGAAGCGCTGTTTGGAGGATTAAATAATATATGCAAATGTTCAGTTTGTTAATTTTAAAGCACTTGGTAAATATTAAAAATTATTCTGGCCAGCCTAGAAGGATCAGTTATGATTATAAAAGACCTGAAATGCCAGTCTGAGGAATTCCTCTTATTTTCAAGGCAAAGGTGAAACAGACAATAATTCTTACGGGGGAGTGGCAGACTAATGGATAAAGCAAACCTCTGCTAGCTAAGGTCTAAGCTTCCAGTGTGGGGTGTAGCTGGCACTTGGTTCTGCAGAGTGTCCCGCGGGGAAGCCGGGAAATGCACTGGTACGGCATACGCTCCACTGAGCGGGTGTTTGTTCCCCGGAGGGAGCCCAGTGGAAAATTTTGAGCTGCAGTTAGGAACCGTGTGTATGGTCTTGGAAACTGAAGATGTTCCTTTAAAAGAAAAATCACAGTGCTTTTTAAACTCAAATGACAGCATTGACCATTATCTGCTTTTCTCTCTTGCCAGCTCTCGGGGTTTTCTTGGGATGTTATCAGGGCAAGTATCAGAACAATGCCCACTTCTGTTTTGTTTTTAACCTGAATTACAAATTACCAATCGGCAGATATAGGCCAAGCAAAGAAGCTTCTTCTGAATGCTGGACTTTTGCAAAAATGTAGAGGCGCAGTCATGGCTGTTGTTCTTTCTTTCCCTCTCTTCTTTTCCCCAGTGAAGGTACTTTTTGTATTCTGTTTTTGAGGGTTCCTGAAGATTGCTGGAGAACTTGACCGCTGTGGCAGACTAGCACCGATATTTTTTGTTGCCAACTGTTATTTACTATTCTAAGGAAATCAAACAAGCAAAAAACTACCCCTCCAAAACCAAAACAAAACACACAAATAAACTCACAATTTTTTTATGCTGCTTCTGAGAAAAAGATGCTTTTGGTTACGACTAAATTCTATTTAAAATTTCAAGTTTCAACAGTATAGTAAATATAGCATGTGTCTGATTATTTCTGCTATTGATATATGTTTTCTTTCTGAAAAAGGGATTCAAATTAAAATGAACATTTTTGGGGTCCCCTTATCTAGTCCACTTTTCAGGGGTTGGAAGGGTATGTCAGACGCGCTGTTTCCCCTTGCGCAGTGTGTGATTTGTCCACTCGCCTTCTCTTTTGCTTTCAGAATATCTTGCTCTTGACATATTATTGTGCTTATTGGTGATTTAGATCATCTGTTTTCCATTAACCAGTGGGCTGCTTGGGGGCAGGGTCCTGTTCTTCAGCTTCCTAGCCAAGTGCAAGCAAGGATTGATGCCCAGCGGGAGGCTGGAGTCTATTTAAAAATGAGGCCAGCACCAGCGGTACAAAGGCCATCCTTTTGGTAGTCCAGGAAGAATGTGCTGCAATCAACATTCTGGGAAGCGAAGGTAAGAAGGGAGAAATTACTCGCACTGGGAGCCCCAGGGAGCTTTGGGTCCCACTTCAACACCAGGAGCTCATTTGTTGCACAACACGGAGATCAGAAGCTGATTTTTATTCTGGTTATGTGTGTATGAATTCTACTTATCTCTTTCCCTGATCAGATGGTGATTTCCTGAAGGGCAGGGTCTATGTCCTATTCAACTTTTTATCTCTACATCTAGCATCCAGCACTCAGTGGTGACTCAGATGAAGAGAGGAGGGAAAGAAAAAGGCAGGGATGGGAAAAGGGTCGGAGAGCTTGAGAGTCTCTGCTTTGATTCAGGGGCTTGTTCTGGGGGTTTCTGGGCTTTCAGTCCTCAGGGGTAGGATTCAAGCTCTCACTGGCCCTCAGTGGTTCTTTCCAGGTTCCCAGCCACAGTCAGCAGCACAGGGTCCTAGTGAACGTTTCTTGGAAAGGAGTCACAGAGGGAAACTGTGCTTGGATCACCCGGGGCACTGAAAACCCAGCTCATCACAGTGGTGGAAGATGGCAAAACATTTCATTTCACTTTGTTGAAAAGCAAGTTGTTCCGTTTTTTGACTTTAACATCCCAAGGCTAAGAAATGGTATGAAACAACTTTTAAAAATCTATTTCAATGTTCTCCATTGTTCACAAAAAGTGGATCATAAAGGGTGCAAGATAACTGAAGACACTACCACTCATGTGAATCACTCATGGAGTGCACTGGGAGGGCCCTTTCAAAAGGCTTTATTTAGGAAGCAAGAAATTGCTAAAACCGGATGGCGCTAATAAAAATTAGATTTTAAAATTTTCATTAAAGTTGCATAGTTGGATGTAATTTTACTTATGATCTCCCCTCTATATTCCCTGCCTACAACATTCAAAACAGGTAAGGCCATGTGAACGTGTGTGTATCTATATATGCACATATATTTTTAAATTGCCAAGTCCAGATGAGAGTTTTTCTTATGAAATACAGATGTACAGTGCTTGCTTCGGCAGCACATATACTAAAATTGGAACGATAAAGAGAAGATTAGCATGGCCCTTGCGCAAGGATGACATGCAAATTCGTGAAGCATTCCATATTTTTTCCTGGGATCGAGCCCAGCATCGGGCTCCCTGCTCAGTGGGAAGCCTGCTTCTCCCTCTCCCACTCCCCCTGCTTGTGTTCCCTCTCTCGCTGTGTCTCTCTCTGTCAAATAAATAAATAAAATCTTAAAAAAAAAAAGAAATACAGATGTATGACAATGTATCCTAAGATATGTTAATTCACTTTGATGACCAATCTATCTCTTCCACCATAATCATCACACAGTAGTTCCAACAGGGAAACCTAAGCGTAAACACTGAGTCACTAAAAAACAAGTTTGGAAAAAAAAATAAATAATAAAAAACAAGTTTGGGGTTTAGTATTTTAGTAGGTAAAAGTTCAGTTTTTGGTATTAGCCTTAAAAGAGAGTACATACATAGAATTTACTCTATTTGTGTAAGGTAAGGACTGACAAATCTTCAAAAGCCTTGGCATTTAGGACAATGTTAATGCTTTATCCATAAATTTACTCCTTAAACTATATGATTCTTTGCCCCCAAGTGAGATACCCTGTCTGCTGAACAATGGCCTATGTCTTAAATATGCAGAGACTCTTCAAGAGCACAAAGAGTGTGGCTAAAACATCATGAATGGACAATTGGAAGTATTAGCAAGGCTTGTTTAGCCCTCTCTGAGTATCAAAATGAAGAATATCAGTGTATGATTCATACATGGAAAAAACCTCTGGACCTCTCTACATGATTACTAGTCTTCACTTTATGGAGGAGTAAAACAAAATAATAATAGTTACCATTTATTTACTTACTCCTGAATGCTTACCATGTGAGGGCTAAAGCCTTGTTAATCATTATCTTATCTAATCCTCACAACAGTCCTGTGAAGTAGGTACTATCATTATCCATTTTACAATAAACAAACTGAAGATTAGAGAAGTTAATTAACTTGCCCAAGGTCAGATGACTAAATAAGTTTGGGAGCCATTATTTAAGTAAAATTCTAACAAAGTCTACATTTTAAACTATTATACAGTCTTCCTGGTAAGACACACATCTGTGGGTTCCTGTTAATTCATAGTATTCATGTCATGTATAGCTTGATGAAGAAAGGTATCATTCTCATTGCTTACATATAAAAACTTCAAAATGATTCTTTTTTTTTTTTAAAGATTTTATTTATTTATTTGTCAGAGAGAGAGAGCACAAGCAGGGGGAGCGGCAGGCAGAGCAAGAAGCAGATTCCCCGAGGAGCAAGGAGCCGGATATGGGACTGGATCCCAGGACCCTGGAATCATGACCTGAACCAAAGGCAGTCGCTTAACCAACTGAGCCGCCCAAGCGTCCCAAAATGATTCTTTAGGAGGGTGTGTGATTCCCTTTAGTTGTTAATAAATATAGTTCTGTCTTAGTATTTAAAATGGATCTTTTTTTCTTTTACCCTTTTCTGAACTTTTTGAGAGACTGTTTCACTTGGAGGAGCTTTGAATCAGCAACATTTCTAATGAACTGCAAAACAAATCTCTTGATTAGGTGGAAACCAGGAAGTTACAGGCTTCTGTTGCACATCTGAGTTCGTGGGTCTGCATCAGTATCCATGAGGAAACCAAGTTTCATGAGCTGCTGCGGGAAATAGTCATATTTCCTACCTGAACAAAAAATTCTTTTGATTTACTAGATCTGCTCTAATTTGTTAGCCACTTGCACATGTGACTATTTAAATTTTAATTTTAATTAATTAAAATTAAATAAAATTAAAAATCCAGTCCCTAGTCACCCTCGCCACATTGCAAGTGCCCAATACCTGTGAGTGGCTAGGTGGCTACCATACTGGGTAACATAGATATGGAACATTTCCATCTGCGCAGAAAACTGTACTGGACAGAGCTGTCAAAATTATTTAGACTATCAAGCACCAAGTTCCACAGTTAGAAAAGACAACTATTTTTTCATCATTAAAAAAAAATTTAAGTATAGTTACACACAAGGTTACATTAGTTTCAGGTCTACAACACAGTGATTGGACAAGTCTTTATGTTATGCTGTGCTCACCACAAGTGTAGTTCCCACCTGCCACCATACGCGGCTATTACAATATCCTTGACTATATTCCCTGTGCTGCACCTTTCATCCCAGTGATTTATTTCCTCCGTAACTTGAAGCCTATTTCTCCCGCTCTCTTTCACGCATTTTGCCCTTTCTCCCTACCCCCCGCCCCTGGCAACCATCAGTCTGTTCTCTATTTATGGAGCTATTTCTGGAAAAGACAAGTATTTTTTAAAGTAAGGGTGCCTTGGGAAGGTAGCAGCCAAAGTAGTACTGCCCAGCAGTGAATTTATATTAATTTGGGCTATTGCCCCTTTCCACCGCCAGTTCCGTTTCTTTTCATTACAGAAAGTAGACCCTGTTCAACTTGGTGCCTACTAACGCAGAGCAGCAGACAGTAAACAGCAGTCCCCAGACGGCCTCTGCCAGCTCCTCTCAGGTGTTCTGCTTGGGGGGTGGGGGGTGGGATTGCCACACTTGCTACGGCCTGGGTAGCCCCGTGCCGCGCGTCTCCATCACTCTGTGCGCCACACCGCCAGGACCAAGACAGGGAGGGCGGGAGGACTTCCTCTCCCTCTTTGAAGTGAAAACCCTCATTAACTGTTGACCGAACCTAAAGGGTATTTTCTCTAGATTTGTTCATGATCACACTCTGGCCCCATCGCAACTGTTTCCATTGGGTAATAGGAAGCAGGAGTCTGTAATTGGCAAGGACTGTAAAGGACCCAGGTCCTGCAGAACCACACCAGCAGCCGCAGCGGTAGCCACCGGAAACAGCGGCGTGTGTGATCCATTCTGGAAATTGCCCAGGGCGGTTGGAGCTGTGTTTCTGAAGCTTCAACACACCAACTAACATACAGACTTCTATGTGAGTTTGAGAAACATGAATTCACTTGGAATCTTTAAACTTCATTGCAAATCTTTCCAGAGTGTGGGCATGCCTTTGAAGCGCCAGAGCACTGAGAATAAACCGCCCTATGGGAGTTTTGTCATTATTTTTTTAAATTTTATTTATTTATTTGAGAGAGAGAGAGAAAGCGAGAGACAGAGCAGGAACGGATTTGGAGTGGAGGGGGAGCGGCAGGCAGAGGGAGAGGGAGAAGCAGGCTCTACCCTGAGTAGGGAGCCTGATGCGGGGCTCGATCCCAGGAGATCATGACCTGAGCCGAAGGCAGTGGCTTAACAGACTGAGCCTCCCAGGCGCCCCTGTCATTAATTCATTAAAACAGGTGCCAGTGGCACAGCTATAAATTCCTATAATTCCTTCATATAGATTACTTAATTTATATAACTTTATATAAATTTATATATATACACACACATATATAAATGAGACATGGTCTTTTTAATTTTTTTAGAGTAGAAAATCAGGTAGAAAACTGAGGTATAAAATAACTGTAGTGCAAAGTGATTTTTTATTAGTTGCTATAACTGCCAGTTTTCAAATTTATCCATTTTCTAAAATTTTATTTAATAAACTTTATTTTTAAATTTTATTTAGTAAATGTTATGGTTATTAAAGAGGATCAGTTTTTAATTGCTTCATTTTATGACTGTATAAATCACTGATTACACTTTAAGTTTCAAGGGCACATTATTGCTTTTCTGAGTCTAGTGCTTAGGCTAAAGAAAAAAAAATCCTTCCATTAGAAAAACAGAAAAATGATTAGGTTTGGACACTGAAAAGCATTTAGCTCTTAAACATCAGAGGGATCTAGAACAGGCTAGTATCCCCACTTTCATGAAGTCTATGGCTAAGCACCCGGTCTCCTCTGAAGGGCTCAGGGTAGGAAGCGGGAGCCCGAGAAGAGGGCTGGAGAGGCCTTTACTCAAATCCCTGAAAGCATTACACAAATGGACTGTGCAAAGATATGTTAGCAGAGAAGGAAGGGATTGACAGCATTTTCCACTCTTTGGATTCTTGGATCCACTCTTCCGATGCATTTCTCCTCATTGGTTTAGTGACAGATGAAACTTCAGGGGGAGCCGTGTGGGCAGGGGGACAGAGACACAGTGGAAGAATCCACCCCATTGTCTAACCTGGGTGATATGAATGGTGGGCGGAAGCGGCCGACAGTGGAGCATTCATGAGGAAGGCACTGAGTTCTCATTGTGACCCTTTCGCCCTGACTCAGAATTTTCAAAGACTATTCATTCAATATTCACTCCAGCCTAAAACCAGACTGAAAAAATGATGGGGTGTTGCCTTTTTTTAGGCAGCTAAAGATACAAACTATTCTGGATGACTACACTGAAAATCACAGCAAGGGCTTCCTCCCCTAACCCACTAGTGGAACTCTCTGGGCTTGGCAAATTCTCTTTGTACCTGGGATAGCAGCTTCCATGAGAAAGCCAGAGACAGAAGATTCTATTTTCCTGTAACCCTTGGGAAGCAATGTCCTGCCTTTCTATCAGAATTGGCTTGGGTCTCTGTGCCAGAGTGCAGCTACCCATCTGCTATCCAGCATTCTCTCCTTCCTCAGTGACAAAACTCGGATCTAACCTTGAATTAAAAATGGCTTTTCCCAGACTTCCTTGCTGCTGGATGTGGTGATGTTCTGGCCAAAAAAGATGAAAGTGAATGTGTTGGGTGGACTTCTTGGAAGGCTCTTTAAGGAGGGCTGGCAGGTATACTTGTTGCTTTTTTCCTTCTTCCTTTGTGCTACTTCTTGTAATGGTTGTGATGGCTGGTGCACAGTGGCCATTTTAGATCATGAGGTAACCGTGAGGATGGAAGCCATGTACTAGGATGGCAGGGCAGGCAGGAAAATAGATGGGCCTGGGACACTGATAACTGCAGAGCCATAAGAGAATTGTGTATTACCTTCCTCTGGGCTTCATTTAAGTGAGAAAAGAAACTTCTTATTTGGGGTGGGTTTTCTGTTATATGCAGCTAAAACAAATTATAATTAATTTAGGCTCTAAGACCAATTTATCTTATTAGGTTGCTATTAAATTTTAATTTTCCATTTTCTGACCACATCTCTTTCCCCTCCTCCCCATCTGAACTCCACCGCACTCATTCTTCCACCCCTCATTTTCTCCAGTTCAGTGGCCCCACTGCCCTCCCTTTTCTTCCTGCAATCCAGGTCCTGTGAGTCTCCATTTTAGCAGCTCTCTCAGACCAGCACCAGCACAGCCACGCCCTCCACCCCACTGTTCTACTTGCCGGACCTCCTCTGCTTAACTTCAGTTAGCCTTGGACTGATTTAGCCAAATCCCGTTTCTCATCCTACACACAGGCTACTGAAGGTTATAGAAGAAAAACTCCATAGAGTCCTGCAGTTTAATGCAACCCAATTAATGCTCCCCCACAGCTCTTCCTTGTGCACCTTGTCCGCTCCCTCTCCATTCTTCTCCCTAAACCTCTACAACCTTCCTCAGGCCAGTGAGCACCCGCATCTCTCACCCAGGAGCCTGTGAGTTGTCACACAACTTCTTTTCTCCTCATCTTGTTTCTCTTGAAAGAGTAGTTTGCATTTATTTTCTTCTTGCTTTTCACTTACTTTTTGACCTGTTGCAATCTGACCTCCACCCCATAACTCTGAGGAAACTGCTCCTGAAGTTTGTAACCCATCTTCCACCCAAATCCAGTGGAATTTTTGCCACCCTTAATTTTTTTACCTTCCTCTGGCATTTGACATAGACTGATTATTTGCTTTCCAAAAACATTCCTCTGTTTGAATGGGAGCAATCTCTTGGCACCAGTCCTTCTTCATAGAGCACTGTCTGCTCTTTCCTCCACGTGGCTGGCTCCTACTGTGCAAGAACTAGCTGGAATGCTACTGCCTGTGGGGGGCCTGCCTCGACTGTCCGACTATCCGACTATCCGGCTGAGCTGGGGAGTGAGTCTCAGCTGGGGAGTGAGCCTGAGCTGGGGAGTGAGTCTCAGCTGGGGAGTGAGCCTGAGCTGGGGAGTGAGTCTGAGCTGGGGAGTGAGCCTGCACAGCAGAGCGACCTGCTGTCCTCTCACCCCAGCCCTTTCTGTTCTCCTGAATCTGCCACAGCCCTATCTGGCGATCAGGTGTTAGGTCTAGGTCCCACCCTGCCACTGACTTCTGGCAAGTGAGCTTCTGGCCTAGGCCACATTTTCTTCTCTTTATTGTTTAAAAAAGTCACATAGACAACACATGAACACATGTTAGTGAAATTTCAAGTAATAGGAAAGTACATAAGTAATAAGTGACAGTTCTTTGGTGACACCACCCCCCACTCCACTTCCAGTGCCTTCCCCCAGCCCTTCCTGTAACTTACATCCATGTCATATGTGGATGCATCTAATCTTTTTTTTTTAACATAAGATCACAACCTGTGTACCATTATGCAATGGGCCATGGTTTTCTTATTAAAAGACTGAATCAACTGAGCCCCGACATATGAATTTCTTGTCTGCCCAGGTAAATGAATACCCAGATTATTTGGTGGGTTATTTGTTGTTGTTTTCAATCATCTCACAAAAAGAATTTAATTGTATTTTCTAGTTAAGCATCTCAGGAATGCAGCATTCATAGTTTTACCTTATACTGCCATTTTATCGAATACGTTTATTACTTCTAGAATGTTTTTGGTCAGTGCCCCTGGAATCTCTTTCCATACAGTCAGGTAATGCACAACTAACAAGAAAACAAATAGGTCTACATATTTTTAAATTATAAAAAAACTCACAGCATTTCTAGAAATCTAAAAAAATAGGAAAGGTAAGATTATAGATCATATGTGTTATCTTTCTGTTAAGGAAAATGAGCTACCGTTACTGTCATTTAAAAATATGCCAGTTAAAAATAGATTTTGAAGTAATAATACTAGTTATTTGATATATTAATGATTTTTCTTTTATTAATGAGATAAGTAGTATTTTATTTTCCCAATGTTATATTAACTTTTTATTTCTAGAACAAACCAATCTTTTGAAGAGTCCTAATGTTCTATGTATTGATATTTCATTTTAAATTTAAGGAAGTTGGCCTATTTGGAATACTTAACAAATCTGAAGATCAAATTATATTTGCCTTGTGAAAGAAATTTAACATTTCTTTTTGTATACTTTGAAACAGTCAGTATAGCAGAGGACATTTCTTTTCTTTTAAAAGCTTATCAAACCCTTGTGCACTGTTGGTTAGGATTATAAAATGCACTATGGGGAACAGTATGTAGTTCCTGAAAAAATTAAAAATAGGATTATCCTAGGATCCAGCAATCCTACTTCTGGGTATATATCCAAAAGAAGTGAAGGCAGGATTTCTAAGAGATATTTGCCTACTCATGTTCATAGCAGCATTATTCATAATAGTCAAGAGGTGGAGGCAAGCGAAATGTCCATTGTTGGATAAAGAGAAACACAAAAGGTGGTGTGTGCATATAATGAAATATTATTTGGTCTTAAAAAGGAAGGAAAATCTGATCCATGGTACAACATGGATGAACCAGGAAGACATTATGCTAAATAAACCAGTCACAAAACAAAAAACAAAACAAAACAAAAAACAATCAAAAACAAATATTGCCTTTTTCTTTTTTAAGACCACTGAAGTGCTGGGGATAGATTTCCTATCATTTTGAAATTTTCTTGATTCAGCATTTGCCTGGTTGCTATAAGCCTTTGACTATTTTCTGGAGTTCTGACAAAGTTGGTTTTAACAATTTCTGCTTGCTTGTTGATATTTCTATAGAAGGACAAGAGCTTGGAAGTGCCTATCCACCATTTTGCTATCATTCTGATGTCTTTTGTCTTGATCTTTCCTTGGATATGCTTTTATTTTTGTCTTGAATACCCTTTCCCTCTCTACTTGAAAAATTATATTTATCCTCTAAGATCTTGCCTGAATATGATCCTCTCTGTGGAAATCTCTCAATAGCCACATTTTGTTTGTGGGTGCTTGCTAAGGGCTTGCATGCACACTCACTATTACATTGAATATAGCTATTTACTTAACGTGTAATTTCTTTTTTTTTTTTAAGATTTTATTTTTTATTTATTTATTTGAAAGAGAGAGAATGAGAGATAGAGAGCATGAGAGGGAAGAGGGTCAGAGGGAGAAGCAGACCCCCTGCCGAGCAGGAAGCCCGATGTGGGACTCGATCCCGGGACTCCAGGATCATGACCTGAGCCGAAGGCAGTCGCTGAACCAACTGAGCCACCCAGGCGCCCTTAACGTGTAATTTCTACTGGATGGTGAGCCCCTTGAAACTCATCGTGGTGTCTTGCTTACAGTCCCACCCATAACCCTCAAGCTCAAAGCCTGGCACAGAGTGGGCATCCAAAGTGGTGTATAGAACAGTTCAGATTAAGGTGACACTCAGGAGCAGATGAACAGGAGTTTTCCCTGAAATCATGAGAAGATTGGTCTTGCAAGTGTATGGAAGTGGGTATACTTTGGAAAACAGAAATAAGAAGGGATAGTAGAAGACAAAGGGGTAGTTTGGATATATCTTCAAATTCTGCAGGTCATGTGCGACAACTGTCATTTTCCCAGAAAGTTACCCATAGTTAAACCCTCAATGGTACCCTAAAGGGTAATAGAAAGGAATGGAAATAAAGAGCCCAAATAAAATTTTAATGTTTTTTTAAATGTAAGGTGCAGGGTTGTCAAGAATTGTTGGTTGACAGGACACTTCACCCACCCAATTAATTCTTACTCAAGATATTTTTTCCTCAAATAGGTAAATTGAAGTCTTAGACTTTTTTTTTTTTAAATGACTAGTTTTCTGCTTTTTCCAGTTGAAAATTGGGCTAATCCACTTTGGTTTTGGAGAACTTGTTCATCTTTTTGGTGGACAATAAGTAGCTTCTAACTCTTGAAAGTGGGGGAGGGCTAGCAAATATTGTCTTTTTGATGTGAGGTATCTAAAGTAGCAAAGTTCATAATAATAGAGAGTAGAATGGTGGTTACGAGGGACTGGGGAGGAGTGTGTGGAGTGAGCTCTTGTTTAATGGATATATTTTTTTCAGTTTTGCAAGATTAAGAAGTTCCAAAGATTGGTTGCACAACAATATGGATATATTTAACACTACTAAATTATATTCTTTAAAATGGTTAAGATGGCAAATTTGATGTGTTTTTTTTTTACCACAATTTAAAAATCAAAAACAAGAAATTCTTCCATGAGACCACAGGGATTAAGTGCTCTTTGTTTTTATTTTGTTAAACATATTATTTATTTATTTGAGACAGTGAGCGAGAGAGAGAACACCAGCAGGGAAAGGGTGGGGGGTGGGGCAGAGGGAGAAGGAGAAGTAGATTACCTGCTGAGCAGGCAGCCCCATACGGGGCTCAATCCCAGGACCCTGAGATCATGACATGAGCCAAAAGCAGATGCTTAACCAACTGAGCCACCCAGGCGCCCCTACCTTTTGGGTTTAACCATAGGTTCTTGAGGATCAAATCTATTATTACCTTATCTTTCTTGTATGTGTCCTTCATATGTTAATTTAACCGCAGAGACAAGAATGTCAGGGCTAGATGGGTAACACACAACACACAGAGACACACAGGCGAACACACAGACACACAGGCCTGTGTGCCTAAGACGGGGAGGAGGAAGGGTAAGAGGGAGGAAGCAGTTTGCAGCCTTTGGCACTTGAACTCCTTCATTTTAGACAAGAAAGCCAAATGATGGGCAGAGTTCTGCCAACCTTGTGGCACTAACTTGTGGCAGATTTGAGACTCCAACCCAATGGTCTGTCCTTGCTCAGTGGATCCTCAAGAGCCATGGAGATCTGATGATATAATGGTGAAGTCTGCAATTAATTTTACCTTCGCATCATCCTACATCTCTGTAGTTTTTATGTATTCTGTTGGGTTTAACTTAATTACTTTAACTCCCTGCTCTTCAGTTTCTGTAAAATGGAGATAGTAGTTCCTGACTTCATAGGATGGTTTTGAAGAATAAATGAAATAATATTCAAAACACAGTGTTTGAACCTGAATAAGTACTTAATAAATGTCAATTACTAGTATCATTACTATTATTTTAAATGGATCATGTAGAGATACTGTTATGTAAAGTATTATAAATTGTTTTACATACCTTCTCTCATTTAATCCTTATGACAAAAAGGTTATTCCCTTCTTTCAACTGAGGAAATTGAGGTCCCGGGGGGTTAACAACTTACCCAGGGAACCCAGGTAGCAGGCAGCTAGATGGCTAGACGACCCTCTACTATACAATGGCAAGATCTCCTTGGATTTTCTTTCTTGTCCCTTTGCTAGCTTCTTTTTATAAGAAATTTCACTCATGTATAGGCCTGTGCACTGTCCTTGTGGCATTCTACTTCCTCCCATCTTGTTTCTGGGCATATCAGGACTTACACTGTGGTTACCATTCTTTAGTTTTGCCTTTTAAATTTAACATTATAAAATGAGCATATTTTTATATTGTGAAATATTTTTAAAATATAATTTTTAGTGGCTAAATGGTATAGGATTTTATGACAATGACACTATTTTTTAGCCATTCCCCTAATTTTAAGCATACTGGTTGTTTTCAATATCTCACTGTTATAAGTAACTGCGGTGCTTTTCCTGGTACAGACACACTTATGCACATTTCTGATTATTTCTCCAACATGGAAATCCAAAAGCAGATTTTCCAGGTCAATAGAGATGATTATTATAAGACTCTTTGTTACATGTTGAGGAATTTCTATTTCATTAATCCCTCACTAACTCTGAGAATTATAATTTTTAAAAATCTTTGCCAGGTTAAATGCCATGGTAACTCATTTTAACTTGCCTTTCTTTTATTACCATGGGTCACACTATTTCTCTTCCCATTTTTTATTGGCCACTTGCCTTGTTCTTTTGCAAATTGCTGTTGATGTCCCTTGCCTATTTGTAAATCCGGAAATCTGGGTGTGAGATTTTATGAATCAAGAGTATCAACACCTTGATATATATATTACAAACATTCTGGCTCTCATTTTTTTGTAGTTTTCCACCTATTTTACTTAATATTGTAAATATGTCTAATGCTCCCAGTCATTTGTTATATTAACCTCTATAATATTCTTTTTCATCTTTTGTTTTCAGCAGTTTCTGTCCTGAACTTGTTTTAAGTTCAGAATTATTTGGCAGGATATTATTTTAGAAGCTCCTCAGATGATTTTAACACATGGCTCAGGTTGAGGACCACTGCTTTCAACCATACTAAAGACAATCTTGGCCAATCAACATATTTTTCTGCTTTTAACATCAATATATTTTAACCCAAGTATTTTCATCTACACATGTCATGAAGTTTAGCTCTTGTATCCCAAATACCAGGCACTTCCCTTTGGCCGTGGTCACATAAGACATCCAGTGAGGTTTGTGTTTCCACTGTGCCTTTCTGGAGCTCACAAGGTGATTTTACTGTCATTTTCTTCATAAAACTGTCTTAATTTGCCTCATAAGTATATTGCCTCCTCTTAGATCTTTGTTGATTTTTGCAGCTCTAGGATTTTATGGAGAAATCATATTAGGCTCTCTGCCTCAGAATCGTTCTGTCTTGCCTTAAAAGAGAAACTCAGCCTGACAGTGTTTGCGGTGATGTTTCCCAAAGGCAATGTCTGAAATCACTCCTCTCGTGGCATCTTTACCTGCAGTCACCCCTTTCCTCTCACTGACTTGTCTGTCTCTTTATAGTTAAAAAAATCAATGGTGAAGTATCTGTGGATTCTTTGGGGGTGTTCTTGAGGGAAAATTCTGTCCCCTTTACAAATCTTTGCTGTGATGCTTTCAGTTGGGGAGAATATTTTCCCAAATTATTAATCTGGCTTTCTTATTTGGGGCCTTTCTAATTTCCTCTTGTTTTCCATTATTACTGTCCTTTTTCTGCCTCAGCTGCACGGTCTATCGTCTGTGTGGGTGTACAGCTGTGATTCAGGTGCTGGAAGTTGTAGCATTCTGCTACAACTTGTTTCTCGCTCATACTTCTTTGGATGGTTTCAACACTTTTATGAAATTACAAGTTCGACTTTTTTTCTCATTTCAAGTTTAAAGGGCATTTTAGGCATGTGCATTTCAGTTCAACATTTTAACTTTGGAAAATATTTCTCTGGGAGAAATAATACATGCATATGTGTTACAAATGAAACAATCCTTTACACAAATAAACTGAAAAGTAAATGTGTCCTATAAACTCAACCCCCAAAGATAAAACCATACTTAACTGGTGTATAGTCTTCCAGAATTTTATTCTGTAGTTATACAAATATATTCTTTTATTTCTTGTTTTGTTTTTTCAATACTGGAGACACACTCTACATGCTATACTTATGACAACTTACTTGGTCACATACTAGATTGTTGTCGTATTCCCATTCTTTTCATTGCTAGACAATTTATCATTCTATGGATGTGCCATACATTTTTGGAAATAACTCCATATTGATAAGCATTTAAGTTGTTTCTATTTTTTCCCATTATAAATAATCCATTTTCCCATTATAAATATCCAGACATGTGTAAACATATAGGTATATCCTTCTGTAGCTTTGCAAGAGTTTATATATTCAAAGGATAAATGTCTAGAAGTAGATATGTGGACGAATATTTTCAATGGTTCTTCTGAGTGGTAGTACTCATTTCTATTTCCTCAGACTCTCCTAAACTGATTATTATTAGATCTTTTTCTCAGAACATCCCTTAACCTGGCTATTATTATTAGCTTTTAAATCTAAGCAATATTTTGTTTTAATTTGTATCTTTTGAACTCTTATAAGATTGACCCTTTTCCAAATGTTTATTGACCATCTGTGTTGCCTATTTGTTTCCTTATTACTTTTTCATTTTCATTCTTTTCTTTTTTATCTGTGGAAGCTCTTTATGTATTATAAATACTAACCGAGGGGCACCTGGGTGGCTCAGTTGGTTAAGCGTCTGACTCAACCTCAGTTTCACGTCTTGATCTCAGGGTCATGAGCTCAAGCCCCATGTTGGGCTCCACACTGGGCATGGAGCCTACTTAAAAAAAAAAAGAAAAAGAAATACTGACATATATGGGATGAAATATCTCACTCTGTCCCAAGTGCATTTTGAGTTAACATATGCTAGGGGTTTTTTCCATCTAGAAGTTTTTAACTTTAATACAATCAAATCTATCTTTACCTTTATGGGGTTTTGGCCTGATGTCAAGCCAACAAAGCTATTTAAACCCCAAAGTTACACAAACATATTCTTGGTTTTTACTAATAAGTTCATAATGTTGGTTTTCACTGTTTTTGTGTTTAGAACATTAATGCATCTATAATTTGTTTTAGGAGATGGTTTGTGTTGAAAGTCAGGCTTCATTTTTCTTCTAAAAGGATTGTCAATCTTATTCTTTTTTTTTTTAAGATTTTTTTTTTAAGATTTTGTTTATTTGAGAGAGAGAGTAAGCTCGAGAGAGAGAGAGCGAGAGAGAGCATGATAGGAGGTAGGGGCAGAGGGAGGGGGAGAAGTAGACTCTCCTGCTGAGCAGGGAGCCCGATGCGGCACTCGATCCCAGCACTCTGGGATCATGACCTGAGCCAAAGGCAGACGCTTAACCGACTGAGGCACCCAGGCACCCCACCCCTAGTCAATCTTATTCTTAATAAAGAACCATTTCTCTTAAAACTGGAAACAAGGAAAAGAAGGGCATTATTCCAGGCCTAGCTCTATTTTAGGAAAGACTGGTCTTGACAATTTTTAACCTTTAAAATATTAAAGGTACATAACACATGTACAGAAAAGGGTCCAAACCAAAGATGTATAAATACAGGCAAACATTCATGTAACCAACAATAAAGTTGAGAAACGAAATCTTCCCCAGCACATTCAGGAGCTCCCAATCTGCATGCCCTTTCCCCATTACTACCAACTCCCCACTCAAAATGGTAATCATATCCTGCCTTTACAGGTAACCACTTTCTTGATTTTCTTTATAACATATGTACCTAGGCACGTTTCTCAAAGCCAAAAAGCTTAATTTTGTCTGTTTTTTAGACTTCATATAAAATGAAGTCAAGTTTTAATTTACTCAGTGCAATTTTCAGTTGATAATCACTTGGGTTATTTCCACAGTGTGGGTGTTTTAAACAACAGGAATTTATTTCTCACAGTTCTGGAGGCTGGAAGTCCAAGATCCAGGTGTTGGCAAATTTGGTTCCTTGGCTTGCAGATGGCCATCTTCTGTGTGTCCTCACATGGCCTTTCCCCTATGCATGCACATCCCTGATGTCTCCAGCTTGCTGGCCCATCCTGCAGATTTGGGGTTTGCTAGCCTCCATAATTGTGGGAGCGAATTTTTTAAAAATCAGTCAATCAGGCCTTACAGCCACCACCTTCCTGGAGCCACCCATGCCACCCAGCCGTGGTCAACTCCACGGTGATCTTCTATATCACCATGGACGATGAACCCTTGGGCCATGTCTCCTTCAAGCTATTTGCAGACAACGTTCCAAAGACCGTAGAGAACTTCCATGCTCTGAGCACTGGGGAGAAAGGATTTGGTTATAAAGATTCCTGCTTTCACAGGATTATTCCAGGATTTATGTGCCAGGGTGGTGACTTCACATGCCATAATGGCACTGGTGGCAAGTCCATCTATGAGGAGAAATTTAATGGTGAGAATTTCATCCTGAAGCATAGCAGTCCTGGCATCTTGTCCATGGCAAATACTGGACCTAACACTATCAGTTCCCAGTTTTTCACCTGCACGGCCAAGACTGAGTGGTTGGATAGCAAGCATATGGTCTTTGGCATGGTGAAAAAGGGCATGAATACTGTGGAAGCCATGGAACACTTTGAGTCCAGGAATGGCAAGACCAGCAAGAAGATCACTATTGCTGACTGTGGACAAATCTAATAAATTTGACTTGTATTTTATCTTAACTACCAAACCATTCCTTCTGGAGCTCAGGAGAGCAACTCTTCACCCCCATTTGCTTGAAATATCCTATAATCTTTGTGCTTTTGCTGTAGTTCTATGAGTTCCATATTTTTCCTTTTTTTTTTTTTTAAAGATTTATTTATTTGAGAGAGTGAGAATGAAAGAGAGAGTACATGAGAGGGGAAAGGGTCAGAGGGAGAAGCAGCCTCCTTGCCGAGCAGGGAGCCCGATGCGGGACTCGATCCCAGGACTCCGGGATCATGACCTGAGCCGAAGGCAGTCACTTAACCAACTGAGCCACCCAGGTGCCCAAGTTCCATATTTTTCTTACTCTCCTCCAAGTCTAGCTGGATTGCAGAATTAAGTTTATGATTTTGAAATAAAAACTAAACAACAAAAAAAGAAAAAATCAATCACTCTTTCTACACACACACACACACACGCACACACGCACACATGCACACACGCACACACGCACACACGCACACACGCACACTCATCCTATTAATTATGTTTTTCTGTTTCTCAGGAGAATCCTGACTAAATGCAGATTTTGGTACCGAGAAGGAGAGTACTGTTATAACAGATACCTGAAAATGTAGACGTGGTTTTGGAATGGGGTAATGAATAGGGACTGAAAGAGTTTTACTGTGCAAGTTATAAGAAGCCTAGATTTTCTTGAAGGGAGTATTGAGAGAAATATGGATGTTTGTTTTTGTTTTGTTTTGTTTTCAAAATATGGATATTAAAGCAATTCTGGTCAGGTTTCAGACAGAAATGAGAACTATGTTAGTGGTAACTGGAGGAAAGGCAGTTCTTGCTACAAAACGGCAAAGAATTTGGCTGAATTGTGTTATGGTGTCTGTGGAAAGTGATAAACTGGGATATTTAATTGAGGAGATTTCTAAGCAAAGTGTTGAAGATGCATCCTGGTTTCTCCTTACTGCATGTAAAATGTGAGAGAAGAGAGATATATACAAGGAATTGTTCAATAAAAAGGGATCAGAACTTGAAGATTTGGAAAATTTTCAGCCAATTCATATTACAAAAATTAAGAAAGTGTCTTCTGGCGTGAACACCAAGGGTGTGGCTGAAAAGAGATTGTTAAGTATGACCCATGGATCTAAGCAGCTGTGTCAGCAGAAGTCAGGGATAGAGCTGAGGTTATATGAGTGGAAACACCCCCAGCTTGGACTGAAGCGGGCAGAGATGGGACAAAGTAGGGGAAGTCTGTTGAACTTCTGGGATTCTATAGGACACAATAATAGAGATATCGAGCTGTGAAAATGTCATCCTTCAAGAAAAGGGAAAAATAACCCTGAAGGAAATTCAGAGATCAGCAGGACTGCCACTCACTCCCACCATGGGACCAGAGGGTACAGGTCTGGAAGGTGGGGCTGTCTCCTCAGTTTCAATGGGTCAAGCTCCTGCCACCCTGCACGCAGAGGGTGATGCTGCTGCTTTAGTAGGCCCAGAAGGCAGGGCTGCAAACCCCACGTGGGACCTGTTCCCCTTTCTTCTTTCTAATTTCTCCCTTTTGGGTTGGGTATGTCTGTCCTATACTTGGTCCATTATTTTTGGAAGCACATAACTTGTCTGGTTCATAGCCTCACAGCTGTGGAGGAATTTTATGTCAGAATAAACCATACCTTACTTGAGTCTCACCCATACCTGATTTAGATAATATTTAGATGAGATTTTGGACTTGGGTTGGTGTTGGAATTGGTTAAGACTCCTGGGGCTGTTGGGATGGAGTAAATGTTGAGAAGGATGTGAATTTGGGGAATCCAGAGGGTCGAGTGTTATGGACTGAATTGTGTCTCTCCCCAAATTCATATGTTGAAGCTCTAACCCCAGATACTTCAGAATGTGACTTATTTGGAAATAGGACTTTTAAAGAGGTAATTAAATTAAAATCAGGGCATTAGAGTTTACCGTAATACAATCTGTCCTTATGAGGAGAGGAAATCTGGAAACAGAAGAGAGAAACCAGCCATGTACATGCACAGAGGAAGGTCATCCCCAATCAAGGAGAGAGGCCTCAGGAGAAACCTAACTTGCTGACGCCTTGATCTTGGACTTCCAGCCTCCAGAACTATGAGAAAATAAACTTCTATCATTTAAGCCATCCAGTCTGTGGCATTTTGTATGGCAATCCTAGCAGTCTAGTTCAGAGGGTATTTGTATATTTAGTGTTTGTAGATGACAGCCAACAATTTTCCAAAATGGTTGTACCAATGATGCTTTCAGCAGCCATGTATGAAAGTTCTTGTTGCCTTCCATCCCAGTAGGTCAGCTGTTTGTTACTTTAGCCATTCTTTTTGGGTATCAAGTAGTATCTTACTGTGGTTTTAATTTGCATTTACTTGTTTACTCATACTATTGAGTTCTTTCACACATGTTTATAGCCCATTTGTGTATATTCTCTCTTAAAATGCCTCTGCAAGTTTCTTGTCCATTTTTTAATTGGGTTGTCATTTTTCTTATTTAATTATAGGAGTTTTTATTATATCTATATCTATATCTATATCTATATCTATCTCTATATATATTCTAGATTGGAGTTCTTTGTAAGTAATTGGTGTGACAGATATCTTCTCCCACTCTGTGGTTTGCTTTTTCACTCTCTTAATGGTTTCTTTTGATGAACTAAAGTCTTAATTTAAATCTTAAATGAAGGGGCACCTGGGTGGCTCTGTCAGTTAAGTGTCTGCCTTCGGATCAGGTCATGATCCCAGGGTCCTGGAATTGAGCCCTGCATCAGGCTCCTTACTCAGCAGGGAGCCTGCTTCTCTCTCTCCCACTCTCCCTGCTGTGTTCCCTCTCTTGCTGTGTCTCTCTCTGTCAAATAAGTAAATAAAATCTTTTAAAAAAATAAATAAAAAATAAATCCTAAATTAAGTAAATTACCTAAATTAGGTAATTTAAGTATTAGTTAAATACTAAAATGAGTATTAAAATAGTCCAATTCATCAGTTTTTTTTTTCTTTATGGTTAATACTTTTTTGTACTCTTGCTTTTCACATTTAGAACTGAGGACACTTTCTGACTCACAATAGTTTGAGTTATGATTTTTTGACTTTACGATGGTGCAAAAGTGATAAGCATTTAGTGGAAACAGTGCTTTGAATTTTGCATTTTGATCTTTTCCCAGGCTAGTGATACGTGGTGTGATACTCTCTAGTGATCCTGGGCAGTGGCTGCAGCTCCCAGTCTGCCATGTGATCAGAAGGGTCAACAACTGACACACTTACAACCATTTGTATCCATACAACCATTCTGGTTTTCTCTTTCAGTACAGTATTCAGTAAATCACATGAGATATTCAATACTTTATTATAAAATAGGCTTTGTGATTTTTGCCCAACTGTAGGCTAATGGAAGTGTTCTGAGGACATTTCAGGTAGGCTAGGCTAAGCTATGATGTTTGGTAGATTAGGTGTATTAAATGCATTTTGACTTACAATATTTTCAACTTCTGATGGGTTTATTAAGACAGAATATCATTGTAAGTTGAGGAAGATATGTAAAATTAAATTGGAATGATTTTGCTAATGGAACAAAGTAAGAGTCAAGGTTCATTGTTTCCACATGGACAGCTAATTATCATTTATCAAAAAGAAATCCTTTCCTCACTGCCTTGTTTGCAATGCTGCCTTAATCATAAGTCTAGCATCCATATATGACTGGTGTCTTTCTGGTTATATTCTATTGGACAATTTACCTGTGCTTGTACTAGCATAACTGGTAGAACAAGTCCTCCCAGGTTATTCTTCTTCAAGAGTGTCTTGGATATTCTTGGCCTTTTGTATTTTCATATAAATTTTAGAATCAGCTTTTCAATTAAAAAAATTTAATTCCAGTATGATTAACACACTGTGTTATATTAGTTTCAGGTTCACAATATAGTGATTGAACAATTCTATACATTATTCAATGTTTATCATAATAAGTGATCCCCATCACCTATTTCACTCATTCCCCCCCACCTTTGGTAACCATCACTTTGTTCTCTATGGTTTTTAGTTTGTCTCTTTTTCTTTGTTCGTTTGCTTTATTTCTTAAATTCCACATATGAGTGAAATCATGTGGTATTTGTCTTTCTCTAACTGACTTATTTTACTTAGCTTTATACTCTCTAGATCCATCCATGTTGTTGGAAATGGCAAGATTTCATTCTTTTTTATGGCTGAATAATTTAGAATCAGCTTTTCAATTTCCGTTTAAAAATATGTGGATTGCATTCTGTTACTTTGGAGAAAATTGACCTCTTTTTCAAATTTTTATTTAAATTCTAGTTACTTAAGATATAATATAATATTGGTTTCAAGAGTAGAATTTAGTGATTCATCATTTACATATAAACCCAGTGCTCGTCATAACAAGTGCCCTCCTTAATATCCATCACCCATCTTCCTCCATCAACCCTCAGTTTGTTCTCTATTATTAAGAATCTCTTATGGTTTTCTTCCCTCTCTCTCTTTTTCCCCTTCCCATATATTCATCTGTTATGTTTCTTAAATTCCACATATGAGTGAAATCATATGGCATTTATCTTTTTCTGGTTGACTTATTTTGCTTACGCTCTAGCTCCATTTATGTCCTTGCAAATGGCAAGATTTTGTTCTTTTTGATGGCTGAGTAATATTCCATTATATATATAACTCTATATATAATCTTCATTATCCATTCATCAGTCAATGGACATTTGGGCTCTTTCCGTAGTTTGGCTATTGTTGATAATGCTGCTGTAAACATCAGGGTACCCCTTCAAATCTGTATTTTTGTGTATTTTGGGTAAATACCTCGTAGTGCAATTGCTGGGTCATAGGATAGTTTTATTTTTAACATTTTTGAGGAAATTCCATATTGTTTTCCAGAGTGGCTGCACCAGTTTGAATTCCCAACAGTATAAGGGGTTCCTCTTTCTCTGCATTGCCAATATCTGTTGTTTCCTGTGTTGTTCATTTTAGCCA